CACCATCGACTGGATGGAGGGTCCACAGATGCCTCTGACTCCCATCTGCTGTCTGTGTTCTGCTTTTTACCTTTCATTCATGTCTGGGACCAAATGTGTTTAATTTGTAAGAAACTCCACAGAGCAGCCTACATAATTTTGGGGGTTGCTGGCTGTCTGCATGTTTGGCTTTTCACTTTAAATAGAAGCTCTAAAGGTGGTGGCAGACATGAAATATATTTTTACCCCTAGCAGTATGAATTAGCTGCATTATTTTCCATCCTATAAGGTCTTGGTAGCCCAGCTGTAACAAGCACTTTGTTTTCAAAGGTTTGTCCCAGGCATGGAAATAGAAACACTTGAGACTTTATCTTTGTTCTCTTTTCAGATGTTTGTTTTCTCTGATTCAGGGAAGACGTGAGCTAAACCGGCACTCTTTGGCTGAGGCTTACGTACATGTATTTTATATAGATACAATACATACACAAGGTAATACCAGATGGAGAGGGGCTTTGGACAAGGGATGGAGGGACAGGACAAGGGCAATGGCTTTAACCTGCCAGAGGGGAGACTGAGATGAGCTCTGAGGCAGAAGCTCTTCCCTGTGAGGGTGCTGAGGCACTGGCACAGGGTGCCCAGAGAAGCTGTGGCTGCCCCATCCCTGGCAGTGTTCAAGGCCAGGTTGGACACAGGGGCTTGGAGCAACCTGCTCTAGTGGAAGGTGTCCCTGCCCGGGGCAGGGGTTGGAGCTGGAGGAGCTTTAACATCCCTTCAACCCAAACCATTCTATGATTCTGACATTAACACCTACCAAATTAAGAGGGCCATTCAGTGTTTCCCGTGCCTGCAGCTCCCGTCTGGCTCCACTGCATTTCTCCTCTGGTACATGGTGCTGTGTGCAAGCCCGTGCAACAGAGAAATATTTACTGTTCCTCTGTGCTTCCCTGCACCGAAGCCTGACTACCAATTACTCTGTATTAAATTATGTTTAGCTGTGCCGGTGATTATACAGTATCCAAGCAACCCAGGTGTAATCTGATTTAACACACAACATGGATTTACCCTGCTCTTGTTCTCCTTTGTTTTCCTGAGAGTGAATGTACCGTGAGTGGTATCTGTCCATGGACACCCTCAGGGCACGACCTGCCCAGTCAGCTGCAGGGACAGCATTCCCATGGGAGCCCTCAGCTCCTGACCGGGGTGTCCCCTTGGAGCTGGCATCCACCTTTTAGCTCGGGGCTTGCAGAAGCCAACATGACTCTTGGGTTTGCACCAAGTGGGTCAGGTCTTTGCAGAACAAAATCCCTGTGCAGGGCTGCTCAGGGGTGATGCTCTGCTGGGTATGGATATTCCTCCCATCAAGGGTCTCTGGGGTCTGCCCAGTGCTGCCAGGCTGATCCCAGAGACAAGTGGGAGCCATGAGGTGCTGCAAGGAAGACAGCCAGCCTAGAGTGCAAAAGTCAGTGATAGCCTGGAACATTGTAAGCACCAAGTGGGAGTTAAGAGGTTGTTCTGCACATTTCTCCATTAGCTGTTGCTTCCCACCTCCTGCCTGTGCTGGAAGTGCATTCTGCAAAGAGGGGATGCAGAGAGGACTGAAAAGGGACCCCTCTAAATTAATGTTCGTGCAATTGCTTTCAGAGTGCACCGAGGGCCAGAAAGAAACAGCAGGTTAAAAGGAAAATGTAGTGAATACTTGGAAACCTTCTGAAGGGCAGCTCAGGAATGGCACTAACAATGCCTGATGAAAAGCACCAACATTAAGCACACTTTGGGATTGAGAACACCCCATCTTTAGAAACTGCACCATTATTTTCTAGTGCAAAGGATGATGAAGAGGTATAATATATAGTAAATTATCATGTGGATAATGGATGTGGAATTTGAAGGATGTGAAAGGTGAATCATGTTTTGTAGCATAGCTTTGGTAACAGAGCGCTCTCAAGGGTGCAGCTGGAACAGTACCCGTGGTACGGATCAGAAGTTCATGTGCCACCGGGTTCAGTCCAAAAGGAGCCAGATTTGCACTGGCACAAAATGTCTTCCAGGCTTTACAAGACCAAAGCCAAAGCAAGAAAGAGGAGTTTGGGATGGAGGCAAGGGCCAGGGCTTGTGTCCGGGCGCGTGGGCATCCCTCGGGCACCCGAGGTCTGTGGCAGGAGCTGCAACGCCACGTCCTGCTTGGGAACACCTTAATAGCTTTGTCTGAAATAATGAGGGGAGCAGTGCACAGCTGCCTGCCTGTAATGAGCCAATGACAATGTAATTTATTAGAGTGATGTATTACATGGGACCGGTAATGAGAAATGGAGGGACCTGATTTTGTAAGACTCGGATCAATTTGGTTGGGTTTTTATAAATGAACGGTGTTTTTCTAACCACGGAAGATCATTAAAATATTATTTTATTAGTACTTTTCAAAACTATTTGAATTACAGCTTCATTTTTCAGAATCCAAATACCAGCATGGGGACATGTGTCTGAAATATAGATGTTGCTGCAGTGTAAATACGTCATTGGCATTTGTAAATGTCTCGATAGGGAGGTGGGCTGGAGTGAGGGAAGACGCTGGAATATATCTATAATTTATGAATATCTATAAGTAGGAGTTCTTTTCCTGTAAGCAAGCAAGCTTTTTCCTAAGAATTTGTTTCCTGTTGGACTTCTTCTGCCTTCCTCTCCCCTCCAAGAGGTTGTGACCCTCTAAAGAGTTTGCTTCTATACCACCAGCTCTGCTGGGTGCTGGCACTGCTGCGGGCACAGCTCTTGCTTTCAGTGAGGATGGGGAGAGGATATCTATAAGTAGGAGTTCTTTTCCTGTAAGCAAGCAAGCTTTTTCCTAAGAATTTGTTTCCTGTTGGACTTCTTCTGCCTTCCTCTCCCCTCCAAGAGGTTGTGACCCTCTAAAGAGTTTGCTTCTATACCACCAGCTCTGCTGGGTGCTGGCACTGCTGCGGGCACAGCTCTTGCTTTCAGTGAGGATGGGGAGAGGCTCTGCACTGGGATGGGCAGCCGGGCTGGTGCAGGCGGTGGGGAGCGGGTGGCAGCAGCTCTGCCAGGCTGTGCATGGGCTCCTTCCTCCTCAGGTATTGCCTCTGTAAGCGGAGCCTCCCCTGGCTCAGCCCATCGCCCGCAGCGCAGCAGGTTCCTGACGTGGGAGGTGTCTTGGACGCTGTGATAAAACATTGAGAGCTTCCTGACAGTGGGGGAAGCTCCGAGTACAGGGAAGGTCCCACAAGCTCCCGAGGCACTTTGCCAGGACCTCAGCACCTTTGAAGTTGTAGCCCAAGCCCAGGCCTGGTGGAGGTGGCAGCTCTGCACAGTTTCCAGGGATGTTCTTCACTGGGAGGCTCTTCCCTGTGAGGGTGCTGAGGCGCTGGCACAGGGTGCCCAGAGAAGCTGTGGCTGCCCCCTCCCTGGGCGCATTCAGGTTGGACACAGGATCTTGGAGCAACCTGCTCTAGTGGAAGGTGTCCCTGCCTGTTGGCAGGGGGTTGGAACTGGGTGAACTCTAAGGTCCCTTCCAACACAAACCAATCTGTGGTTCTATGTGCCGCCTTTTCTGGGTGGTAAATAGGGCTGAAGTTGCTGCTGGGGAGGGCTAAGCCAGCAGTCCTGACCCCCTGAGCCATCCCTTGGTGATGACGTCCTCTTCTGCTGCCTGAGGAGCTGAATACAGGGGTGAGGAATGAAGAGTTCTTTGCTGGTTCAAGTGAGATTTGGATGGAAAAAAATGGAATGCATCCTTTCTTTTAAGCCAGCCCTAGCTTATACTGTACTGAAGTAAGCTGAACATGCACATAAATGGTGTCTTGGCCCTGAGATCAATAATAAAAGCTCATGGCAATACATTGCTGGGATGTTACAGCAAGGTCTGGGTCTCAGCCTTGCTTTGTGCTGGCCTGCTGCATTCGGCTGGGGAAAACAGGAGTGGATGAGGAATGGGAAAAGACATTTAAAACCCTCCCTTAGGCTAAAACTGTGTGAGTGCTCTGCCTGCAGTCATTGGCTCCCTGGTTGACGGGCTCAGGAGGAACCACAAGAAAGAGTCTGATGGGGCTGTAGGTTCCCACCGCAGGTCCTCGTTGTGTCACCCACACGCGTGTCACAGCGTTCTGTGTCATTGTGTGACTCCAGCACGTCTCAGCCGAGCACCCACGTCCTTGGCACTCATGGTCAGACACAGCCTGGGGATGTCGAGGCTGCATCCCGCAGTGTGCCCCATGTCCCAGCATCGCAGTGGGGCTGAGCTGCAGCAGAGGACATGCTCTATTAGGGTTGCTGGTGCTTTGTACCCCTGAGACCAGGGGCCAGACTGGAGCTACCCCAGAGCAGAACCCCCCAAACACCCTTCAGCAGGGTGCCAGCTCCTCGGCAGGAGCTGTTTCTCTTGCTGAACTGATCTGCTCCCGCCGGGCTGCAATACTTGGAACACAAAAATAGATGGAGATGACAGGGAGGACGGCTCGAGTGTCAGTGGTGTGGTCCTTGGGTGTCCATGCCGGGTGGATTCCTCACTGGGGTGGGGAAGAGCACGTGTGTGCGCACGTGGGTCTGGGGGTGAAGCCCCATCTTTGCCTTCCAGTCTGTTTTGGTTGGATGGGGCTTACCTCTGGTGCAGGCAAAAGCTTAAATGGGTGAGAAGGAATTGGGTTTTGGAACATATGAGGTCACTCATTCAGTTGGAGAGCAGCGTGTGTCAGAGGTCCAACAATTTGTTTTTAGAGGAGTTTTAAGCATTAATGATTCAAGATGTTTTCCTGGGAGTGGTTTGCAACATGAGCCTCGGTGGCCAGCGTAGCGTTGGGGTTTGATGAGATTAGTCAACTCACTGAGGCTGAAAGGTCTCTAGTAACACAATAGTTAAAGTTGTACTTTTCCAGACGGCTGAGCCTTCAAGGAGCTCACCAGGAGTGCAATAAATGTAAACAGGGCTGTGAGCCTTGTGCCAGCCAGGAGGCAGGGAGGGGGTTTCCCTCCGCATCACTTCTATCAATCACCTTTTCCTTTGTCTCTTTCAGAGTTGCAAATAATCACAAGCAGAACCTGATGACTGTTGCTAACCTGGGTGTGGTATTTGGGCCAACACTGCTCCGACCTCAAGAGGAAACAGTCGCTGCCATTATGGACATCAAATTTCAGAACATCGTGATTGAAATTTTAATAGAAAACCATGAGAAGGTAACGACTTCATTTGCTTCTTTCAGTGCAGTTGATTTAGGGAAAGGAATTTGTCTCTTTACGAACCGCAGCCCCCTCTCCCCATGGCCCCCATGGCCAGTGGAACCGGCAGTGGGGTTGTGCCACGGGAGCCAGTGATGGACATGACTGGGGATGTGGTGGAGAGGCTCCAAAACTGATGGTTCTTGGGCTGTAGTTGTGTAACCAGCACTCTGGTATTCAGCCTTTTTATAGTCATCTCAGTGTGAGTCAGCATGTCTGTGTCTGCATTACAGAAATCCCAATTTCTTTGCCTTTTCCATGGTTTAACAGGAATTTGTCCTTAGTTTTAAGTGAGGTGGGTGCTAAGAGAAACTAGCGCAAGGTCCGTGCCTGGGCTGGATTCCTGCTTCTCTGACTAAATCCAGGTTTACTCCATGGCTTTATCCACAGTGTTGATCCCCTGAATTACGATGCACTTGTGTTAGTTGGCCGTAAGGATGTTCATGTCTGCAGCAGAGGCAGCTCGGTGAGGCCGTGGCATGGCTGTCCCTCTGGCTGGCCACATGCAAACGGCATCACAAAAAATGCCATTTTCTTCTAAACTCAAACATGATCTTTCATTTGTGTGGCTTGGGATGGACAGGGATAACTAATTCGAGCATTCAGGCTGCAAAGAAAGAAGCAGAGGCAGGTTTGCCCCTGGCCAGGGCTGCCAGAGCAGGGTGGCTCCGTGGCTCTGGGGTGGGACGCTGCTTGATGACATTGTGAGTATGTTTCTGGCAGGTTGAGGTTCAAGGTTGAACCTTTGTTACCTGTGGTGTGGGCAGCAGACCCGGGGCATGGCTGTGTGCGGCTGCAAAGGGGCATCAGACGCGCATCCAGCAGGGATAAGGAGACAGTGTCTATGTTGTATGTTCTTGGAGAAGTTGCTTCCATGGGCACGTGGGGCTATGCTATTTGTTTAGGATGAAGGAGCTGTTTTCTTCTCCTCTGCATGGAACGTAATGGCAATGATGGCTTAGTTATGAGCTGCTGTGCAGGTGAACTTGTGGTTGTGAGTGAAGCCCAGCTCCCCAGCCCTGCTCCTGGTGGAGGAACCAACATGAAACCTCACGTTGGCCTCTGATGGTCACCCCCACGTCTGTCATCTCTGTGTTGGCACAGGGAAGTGTCCACCGCCTTTCCCGGTGGGATGAGCTCTCTGCTGTGCCGCCAGCATCACAAGCAGCACAGCATTGCTACAGGTGTGTTTGATGTCCCTCCCCTTCGCTGTGCTTTGTGGAGCCCTCCCCTCGCGGGCCCTTACACAAACACCTTTAGACACTGATGTTTTCCTGCCTGAGCCGGTCCCTCCATCAGCCGCGGCTGTGGAGGATCAATGGCAGATCTCTGCCATGGTCGTGTCTGTGAGAGCTGCAGGGCTGTCCGTGCTCACCAGCTCCTGCCCTGGGGTGTCCTGGTGCTTCCATGCTTCCCCCTCCTTAGAAATAATTTTTGGCACCAGCGGAAGGGTGGATCTGTGAGCTGGTTATGTACATTTGCCTCTATTTGAGTCTGAGGAGCCTGTGAACCCATGTCCCCATCCCTCCAGGGCTCCCAGGAAAAGATCCTGGGAGGAAGGGAGATAGGAAGACGTAACTCCGGGAGAGGAAAATCTCTTAAATGCAGCATTAGTGCCGGCTCAGCTCCCGCTTTAGGAGTGTTTTGGTTTAGTGTATTTCTTAATTTGAATTGATTGGAGCTCCTGGAAGGTTCCCCACAGGAGCTGCCGTGGGTGATTAGCAATATGCAAGTTGCTTGTGCTGGTGCTGCTGGTGCTTTATGTTGTTTTACGCCGGTGACTCAGAGCCACTGCTTACGGTTAAGTACGTTCGCAGGGAAAACGTAATTGATTTGAATGGTTCCTGGCAATCAGCAACTGTCTGGTCTGACATTATATTTCCCCCAGGTAAGTGGAACGCCTCTCCCAGCAAAGTGACTGTTGTCATTGTGTAACCAGGGAAAAAAGCAAGCTTGGTGATGACATCTCTTGGTCTGAATGAGTGCTCACAGCCTGTTTACCGTCGTTTCAGCAGGTTTATCTGATTGCCGGGGCAGTGGGAGGGTTTCGGGGGGGTTAGTCAGCGTTCCCTGCCCGCCCGCCTGCATTTGCAGTCACCCCATCTGAGATCTGGCTCATCTTCCCCCTGAGATTATCCCTGGGGAAAAGCATTCATCCTGGAGCTGTAGAAGTATCAGGGAAGGATGCTGCAGGATACAGTGCTGATCGTCCTGGGTCTGCAGTGCTGAACATGACCTTGTGCTCCCGTAGGTGGTACCTCCGCCTTCGCGTGTGCCCTGTGCCTCGGGAGCCATGTGCAGTTTGGAATCACAGTCAGAAAAACAGGGGCTTTGTGAAGGTTCCAGGAATGACGGGTAAAACACGGTGTCCTCTGTGTTGTCAGAGCTTCTGTTAAACCCTGTGTGTAATCCAGAAGTTCAGTCATTTCTGGAGGTTTAACAGCTTTCCAGGCCCCAGATCCAAATTGTTTGTTAGACTCACAACAGCAGTAAGCTCTGAGACAGTTGTTAAAGCTTCTCAGACACATTCTCCTCGAGAAGCTCTCTGCACGTCGAGGTGTCACAGCGCTGGCGTTTGCCCTTATGATTGCAGCCACTGGGACCTGCTGCTCCTTGGGTGATGTCCCTTGGGTTGTACTGACACCAGATCTACTGGACATGTGGAATAGCATTGGGATGAGACTCGGATCAGGGCTTGGGAAGGAGGGAACGACAGCTCCATTTTCCTGCCAGATGCTGCAATGCAGCAAAGAGGAACCCTGGAAAAGCCGAGCGGGAGCAACGTGCCTGGCTCCGGCTGCCTGATGCAACCCAAGGAACCAACCAAATGTCAAATTGCTACTTAACAAGATTTATCCATCAGCCTTTTCTGCCTATGGTTGTGAATGAATGTGCTGGTAATGTAATGTGTTATAAATCAAATCCTGAGTATATATAATTAAATGGATAAAATGTTTTTTCTCCTATGGCTCTGGATGTTGCCATGACAGGCGAACCAAGAGTGCATCCAGTGCAAAAAACAGTAAGGATACTGTGTTGAAAGCCTGGTCGCTCAAGTGATTGCCATTTAACACCATATTTATGACTTAAAAAATAAATGTTAGCCAAAAGTAGTATTGAAACAGTATTACATCTGACAATTGCAGTTGTCCATCCGTGTTCTTTTCCAAAGCTTTCATTTTTATAGCTCTCTGGAAAAGACCATTGTTCTGTAGTGTTATCAGTTTAAGAGATCAATTTACTGTCTTGATGCTCCCTCCAGACAAAAGGTTGACCAAGTGAAATGCTAATGCAGCCAGTATTGATGACAAATAGGAGACTAGTTTATGCAGGGAATTAGACAGCCCCAAGCCACAGGCTTGATAGACAGTGAAGACTTAACGCCAAAGTCAAAGCTCTCAGCACCCCATTTTTGGTTTATTCTTCTCTGTAATTAGCTGAACATTTAGCAATGCTGTTGGCAGTTTTAGCTGGTCCTTGTGTAAGACTTGATACCACCAACATTTTGTCTTGATACCAACCAATGTCACAGCAGCTTCTTATTCTCCAAGCTCCAGATGCAGCTTTGTGTGTGGGAATACACCGAGCTGTTGGCTCGAGCTGTTGTATCCTGCTTTGGGCAGGATACCTACCCCACCTGTTCTCTCTTTCCTTGTCATAAGATGGTCAGAAGTGTTATAAAAGCCTTTTAATTACCATCACTGATGAGATGCTGCTGGGTCTTTGCTGTTTGGCAGACAGGGATAAGGTGGTGTGGAGCCACGGAGTTGCTGCCTGCATCAGGCCGAGGAGCGGGCACGGTACGGCTGTAAATGCAATTTATGGATCCTGGCTGCTCCTCTCCCACTCCGGCTATTAAACTGTCTCTCCCTGCCCGTTAATTGGGCTCTGGGGCTGGGAGAGCTGTAACATGGGTTTGCACAGTGAGGAGCACGTCTCAGCTATTCTTGTTAAATTGAAGAATGGAACAAACCTGAGCAACTTCCCTGTGAAAAGGAGGGGATTGTGCAAGTGGTGCCCGAGCTGAGGGAGATGGAGTAGGAGGGTTTGTTCCAGCAGTGCTGGTTTCCTTTGCTGCAGAAGAGATCTGGTCTATACAATAAAGGCAAAGTCACATCTACAGTGAGCTATTCATCCTACAGTTCTTGGGGTCTCTCCTTAGACCTTCAAAACCAGCGCTGTGCTTTTTAAATGTAGCTTTTAATTGACTTTCCTCTGTTGTGAGTGGCTAAATTTAGCCTGTGTGCTCTGCGCTGCTCAGAGGTGGCAGAGAGTGGCTTTTAATAGCCCTGCCTGCGCCTCCACGCTGCTTCCGCTCTCCATCTCTGGTTTATCTCAGTGGAGATGCTATAGCGGGCCTGGGACACCCAGAATATTCCTGGTTGAAGTCCATCCTGGAGGAATGCTGGTGTTTCTGCTTCATCAGGTGTCTGCATCACACTGTTGGCACTGTGGTTCTAGTAAAATTGTTTGATAACGGTGTTCCAGCTGCACTTAGAAATACAACCTCCTTATAAGCTGTAGCTGGTTTTAACCACTGAGGTCATAATTTAAGAGCATATATATCTTCTTTTGTCATAGACCAAAAAAAAGGAAAAAAAACCTGGAAATTACTTTTCAAGTGTGCTGTGGGAAATCATTGCATAAAACGTGATTCATAAATCAATACTTTGATTTATATATTTAATTTTATTTCCCAAGTAGAATTTGCTGTTGGAAAGCAAATTGAAAGCCAGAGCATGTTAAAGCATCAGTGGCTGTGCTGGGTACGGGGAATGGAGCGCAGGGCAGGTGAGGTGCCCTGGTGCTGATTTCAGCTCCTCCATGCTGAGGATCCTACCCCTTTATTTGGCCTGTAAAGGGAAGGGCTCAGGGCACCGGTTTGAGCACCCAGGGCAGGCACCTGGAGCATGTGCAGCTGTGTAGTGGTTTGGCATGGTAAGCAATATGCTACGAATAGCCCTTCTAACCAGGACCTGTGAGCTGGCCTGAGCGCCAGTGCCGATGCTGGGGAGGGATAGTGGGGTGCTGGGATGGGCTGGTGGGGTGCAGCGAGCAGGATGCAGCAGCCGTACAAGAGGTCAGGGAGCCACCAGCCCCAAACTCCCATGGGGAGCCGTGGGAACAGCCACTTTGGAGGTGGGAACGGCGCGGGCAGCCGTGCACAGGGTGAAAACGAGCACTGCTGCCTGCAGAAAGCATGGCTCAGGCTGCTTCTCCCTCTGCTAATCCATGAGCCCAGGAGGAATGTGTGAATGAGCTCAGCAGAGCTCTCCAGGAAGGGCTGCAGCAGGAGTCCATAATCCACCCATCTGTTCCACAGCGTGCCCAGCGATGCGCACTCAGGCTCAGCTGCTCGCTCGCTCGGGGCCAGGTCCTGCCGTGCACAGGAGCCTGGCGCAGCGGCTGATCCCTGCTCCCTGCCTCCCGCTCCATCTGCGGGCTCGGAGCTGAATCCGAGTCCCTGCAAATAGACAGGTTGGGGAATGTTGTCCTTAGCAAATTCGCTGAGAACTGTTCCTTAATTCCTCCCTGAAGCTGTAAGCGCTGCCCTTCACACCCGCCGCTCCGTGCTTTCGGGGAGAGATGAGACGTTAACACTTTTGGCTGTCATGTCTTGGCTCTTAGTGCTTATTTGTAGAAATCGGCATGGAGGGTCTGTGTGTGCGTGAGAGGATTTTGTTGTTGTTACATGAAACAGCGCAATGAAGTGCTGGCAGCCACTCCCACGTTGGATGCTTTGAGCAAGGCCAGGGCAGCCCATGGCCGGCAGCAATGGCTGTGGGCTCTGGAGGAGACAGAGCTCCGCCGCACTGAGCTGCCCATGGAAGAGTTTTCCTATGGGCAACCCCTGGCAGTGCCGGTCGGGTGTCTGGCAGGGGCAGGCAGAGCAGGGATAGGTGCTGAGAGGCGGGGTTGAATATGCTCTAGAGAAGGGAGAGCTGGAGTGAGCGTGTCTGGTGGCAGCAGTGCTGCTGGCTGAGCCTGGGCTTCCAGAAGAGAAACAAATAACCAAATACCACCAACAAACAAAGCTGCTGCTCTTGAGATTCGTGCAGTTTTAAAATTCCATCCCCTGGAGAAAAAATGCCATTACTCAGTTGTCTGACAGCTGTGGCTGGAGTCACAGGACTTTCCCAAGCTCTTTTGCATCGGTGGGTGCGAGCGTGCTGCAGGGAAGCATGCGTGGGGATGCGCCGGCTTGTGTGCCCAGGACACCTTTGAAAGCTCGGCAGGGTGCCAGAGGATCGGGGTTCTTCACATCCCACCACATGCATCTTGGGTGAAGAATGGAGAAAAGGAGTGCAGACAGGGTGGGAATGGGGGATTTGGGAAGTTGCACCCAAAACGCTGCCTTGTTGAAGGCGTGTGTCCCTTGGACGCGGCTCTGCGGAGCAGCGGAGCAGCCAGGCAGGTAGGCAGCTCTGCTGTGCGAGGGTGATGCCAAAGAACAACTTGTTTATTGTTTTTAACAGATATTTAACACGGTGCCGGAGACGCCACCATCGAACTCGCAGCTGCTGTTATCCCGCAAGAAGAGCACGGACTCGAAGCCTCCCTCCTGCAGCGAGCGCCCGCTGACGCTCTTACACCAACGAGCAGCGTAAGTGAGCCTCCGGCTTTCCCTCTTGACACAGCTTTTGCCCTTATCGTGACTAACACGCTGTAATTCCCATGCCATTCCCGTGCAATTTTGCTGGTGTCAATGGAAGAGGCGATTCCCGTAACAGGATCAGGCTTCAGTTTCCTCTGCAGTGGTGTTGATGAGGAGTGTGAAGATTGCCTGGCATCCCGGCCCTTAACAGGGGCTTGAAATGAGGCTGCATTAGCACAGTATAGAGTGTTGCTGTCCCTGCCCCACCTGACGGGCCCCTGCTCCTTCCCTTCTCATGTTCCTCAGCCCCATCCTCGCCATCATCAGCTCCCACAGCACATGTGGCCAGGGTGGACACCCGCCTGTGTCTCCAAAGGGTGACCCTTTTTGGATGCCCTCAGGCACTTTGCCTTTTACAGGCACAAAATCTTGGCCACGAGGTTCTGCATTTTCCTGGGGATTATGTGCACAACAGTTTAAAAATGTTGAAGATCATCTTTCCATTGCTGTCACTAACTGATGCTCCAGATATTTAGGTGAAAGAGTCAGTGCCCCATCCCTGCTCATGGAGGGGCAGAAATGTGTCTGCTCAGGCTGTTGCTTCATGTTGCAGCACAGTTCCCAGCTCTCGTGTTCCTCCCTGCTGCTCCTGGAGCTGGCCAGCGGCACAGGAACTGTCTCAGCTTGCTAAAAGAACAGGGGAGAGTCCTGGTGAGCAGAGCAAGTGCTTGGGGCTCTCCCTGCTTTGCCTTGGGAAAGTGGGTGAGCAGAGAGAGCAGGGGAAGGCTGGAGATAACCCATCTCTCCAGGACTCAGAACTGCGGAGTGGACGGAGTGGTTGCTGTGTGCTTTACTGACTCCCAAAACGTGGGCTTCTCAGCCTCTGGTTGTTACTGACAATTTTTGGTAACTCAGCCCACTCTCATTTTGGTGGGTGTCATAACAATACACATGGGACAGAGTCGGGGACAGAGAGGTGCATGTGCTGCTTGTTCCCTTGGTGGCTTATTGAAGATCAAGATTAATGAAGTGCAATTTCAGGATGCATTGATGTACATCAACATCATTATCACGTCCTTGGCTTTGGCTAATCTCTGGAAGATAAGCTCAACCTGAGCTAAACCAAGTTTTAGCTCTGTCTTGCTGCCGTAGACGCTGGTGTCCAGGCACCAGGAAGATGCAGCAGCTGCAGTGAAGAAGCATGAAGAGGAGCTTCGGGCTCTGCTGCACCCTGGCATCCACGCACTTTTTGCTCATGTTGGCTGTTCTCTCTGGAGCAGTGGCAAAGGGTTGCCACAGCCCGAGGCAGCACTGCTGCCAAGCCATCCGCAGGAACACAGGCGGTTTCTCTCTGCTGTATGTTCAGGATTAACTTCTCATTTACCCCAGGAGCACTCTTTTATCCTCCTTCAAATGTGTACAGGATACAGATGAGTATTATACGTTATCCTTCTAACACAAGCAGAGGTGTGCAATTAAAGGGATTGAGAATAAGAGACTCCCTGCTACTCTGCTTTTTGGTAGTAATTTGATCATATTAGTGTGCCTTGGGAAAATAATTGTTGAAAGATTCATCACTGAAGTAGGAGTCGCTATGTTTTGCAGCAGGTGCCTATCTTTCAGGAAAACATCATCACAGAAGCAGCAGTTTCTGGAATAGGGCTGCTTTCCATGCCACCAGTGATGATAATTGCTTCTCACAATTACAATTACTGCTTATACGGAAAAGGCATCTTATGAAAATGAATTAATGTGATTTTAGGTAATTCGGCGTAGAGCTGAGGAGGGAGTCCATGCTGCGGGTGTCGGGTTGGGATGCATAATATTGTCACTCTTCACTGCTGAAGTTACACAAATAAGGTGGAAATCTCTTAACAGAGTATGATCAAGGGGAAACAAGAAACTCTAAGAAACCTCCAGGTTGTCAGTAGAGCAAAGCAGTGGGGTCATAGAATCATAGAATGGTTTGTGTTGGAAGGGACCTTAAAGCTCCTCCAGCTCCAATCACTCCCCGGGGCGGGGACCCCTTCCACTAGAGCAGGTTGCTCCAAGCCCCTGTGTCCAACCTGGCCTTGAAAACTGCCAGGGATGGGGCAGCCACAGCTTCTCTGGGCACCCTGTGCCAATTCTTGTTCTAAAATGTTACCCTGCTCTGTCACACGAATGCTCAGTCCCTTGGCAGCTGATTGCAGCCACAGAGAGATCCATGCCTGGCTGTAGTTTGCATTTTAATTATTTTCAGGTTGTGTGGCACTTTGGATGTCTTGGGGAATAGAAAATGTTAATGCCTAGAGAAAAATGAGTATTTTCTTACGACAAATGGTATTCATTTAAACGGAGCTGCATCTTATAAAAAGAATACCTGCATTTCTTATAGTTTCATGTATAATATCTGTGTAGCCTAACTGCCTGTTCTCTGACACCCGGCAGCATGCTGCCCTGTTTGCAGCAGGGGCAGGGATTACTACTAGGAACACTCTGCCTTTGCAGCAGCATGTTCTTTACTTCTGTGTGCAAGAGCAGCCGGGTGTGCTGGCTGATGGTTCTTGGTTTTGATGTTTTTTTAGAGGAGAACAGGAACAGTCTGATCAACTCCAGCCTGGAATCCGTCATCTCTTCAAACGTGAACAGCTTCCTCAACTCCAACAGTGTGCCCCAGCCCAGCCTCAACTCAAGTGATCTCGAACTAGAAGTAATTAAACCCAACAGGCCAAATTCACTGTAAGTACAGTGGTAATTAGTGTTTTATAGGCTCTCTGTCTTTAATCTTTAATCAGGGCTGTTTCTTACTCTGAATCCCCGCAGTTTGTTGAAGAGTACAATTTAACATGTAAATTTTTAATGGGTACCTAGCATGTGCCCTGCATTTTTCCCTCGGTCTGAGCAGTGGAATGAGTTGCTCTGGGCTGTATAGGCCGGCGAGCTTCAGCTCTGATTACTTTGCACATGTGGGGTATTTTTCGAGCAGAACTCCGCGTTGCTGCTTGAGCTGCTCGACCCAGCTGGTGACAACTCCAGTGAACACAAAGGACTTTTCTTCTGAGTTACATTCTGGGACTGTTGTCAGTACAGTTGATCTCCGGCCAAATCTGTGCCATTGCTTCGGCTATTGCTTCCTTCATCTGGAAAGTTCAAGGGAAAAAATAGCGACCTTAGCAATGACTCCCTGGGGACGCCCGGGTTGTTTGTGAAGTCCCCTGCAGTCGCCACAGCTGAGCCCTCGCACCGATGGCTGTCCCTGGTGCGGGAATTTCCTTCCTGCCGCGGCTCTGCTGGGCCCGATAGCATTTTCCCACAGAACCTCCCCTCCTCGGCCATGTGAAGATCTGCTCAGATCTTCAGGAGCCATTGCAGTCCTTGCAAGACAAAGCCAAGTCTCCCCCCAGCACTCCTCGGCATGCCCCTGCCCGTCCCTATGGATCCATTGGGAGGAATGTTGCTCCCACCACAGCAGTTTATGGCCTCACTGGATGCGGCAACCTTTGCAATTAATGGAGACCTTCCTTCCCACCCCTCCAGTCCTTTCACAGGCTCCAAACACTTCCAGTTCCCACTCAACCATGGAAGCCCCCAGTCCCTTGAGAGCAGGCAGTGACATTTTTACTTTAGCTGCTTTCTCTTGGTTAGCAGTGGAAGGGCCACTGAGGACTCAGAATGGGGAAGTGCCAGGATGGGTGCTGGTAGAGATGGTGAAACTTGTTGCTGTTGGCTTGGTTGGCAGCAGGGGGTGGCTCTGGGGGGTGTGGGGTGCTACCTCACTGCCAGCATGCAGGGGTGGCTCAGGGCTCTGCCTGGAGCAGCTTGCAGGGCAGAAAGGTAAGTACACAGCAGGCAGCCGGTGCTACTGCCTGTGTGAGCACGTGTGTGAACAGAGGACAAGCTCTGGCTTTCATCCATCCGCTCTGCCTCTCTCCTCACCATTCCTGCCACTAAACCTGTGAGGTGCACAAGTACCAAACCAGCCCAGCCCCGCTGGCACTGGGTGCGTGAGGCTCAGCCCTGCCTGTGGACTTACCCAGTGCAAGACCTTCAAGGAGTGTTGTGGTGGCTCATAGAGCATCCAACAGGTAGGACACCTCTGAATTAAGGTTGTGTGTTACATATATACTGCGTCAAGATGCGTTGATCTCTCGTGCCCATACTGCTGGCTGAAGCTCTGGAAGTCAGTCACATACCATTCCCCCAACCGGATGTTTTTAGTTTGTTTATCCTTCGAGGGGAAAAAAAAACCTGGTGTGACTTCTAATGCAGCAGCGTTTGTGAGCCTGAGTCTTGCTGTGACCTTACAGGAATTGTTTGCCAAATTTGCAGTTTTTTAGATTCCAAGAATTGCCTCTTCCTAATAATTTCTTTTTAAAGGAAGTCATAAAGCCGTTCAGCAGAATAAATCAGTTAAAGCTATGTGAGCCTTGGGGGAGCGGAGGCATCTTGCTGTTACCAGGGAAGTGAGTGAGCAGCCCAGCAGTGGGACTATTTGCTTGCTGCCAGTTGAGGGGCCTGTACAGTTCTGGGATGTGGAGCAGTGATTACCAGGGTAGCACCAGCAGCTCCTCTGGCTCTGACAGCATTTGTGGCACCTGGTGCTTTTCCTCAAATCCAGTGATGATGTGATCACTTTTACGCACACAGGAACACACAAGTGTTCAGTCCATGTCGAACTAAAGCTTGAAAAATGAGTCTTGAGGTGAATAATACCATGCTTTATAACCCCAACTATTTAAATCAAATATCTTTAATCCAATCTTTCAGTAAGAAATGAAGGGTCTGACTTTGTTGTGTTCTTTTTAAACAGCATGTGTAGCTGTCACTGCAGCCCCTCTGTGCCCTCTCACTCATGAGCACAAGTCTGTGCCCATGGGTTTGGCAGGTCTGTGGTGTTCTGCCCTCAGTGGTCAGCACTCTATGGGGGTGTTGGTTTGCAGTGGTGAGGATGAGGAGAGCTCCCAGCAGTGGGTCCATCCCCCAGCTCTGCCCCATGGCTGTTTACAGGCTGAGTCGGAGCCGGGTGCCTCAGTGGTGCCAGTATCCTGGTGGCTTTGTCGCTGCTGCTCCATGGGACTGCCCAAATGTCGTCTGTATAAAGCTGCTTCTGGTTTTTTGACCAGCTGAGTAATCTCGGCTCTGCAGGCAGCCTGGGGCAGCGCACACCCTGCAGCCTGTCTGTAGTAGCTGTTACTCCGTGCAAGGGGTTCTGGTGCTCCCTTGTCACTAACAGACCCACAGTTAGGGTGTATAGTTAAGGTCTGAGGGAAGGTCTCAGGGTGCTTTGCCCTTTGTGCTTCTGCAAACACTCTGCCGAACTCTCTGCCTGTCCTGTGAGACCCATCCCTGGGCTCTGCTTCAGGACTTTGGGTTTTTCTTGTGTTCTTCACTGGTTTTGGTGATTTTTCAGCCGCAGACCAGGGCCACCCTGCTCAAGGACCCATCAGGAGGGATTTGTTTCCCGGTAGCCAGCCCATGAGCTGATCTCTGCCTGAGCTGAGGCCAGCGCTCGCCAAAACTCAAACCCTGCAGCTGAGGAGCTGTAAAATTCCAGGTGTGTGGAAGCCAGGAAATCCCACGTTCTGAAAAAGGGCTTGCTTTGTGAACAAGAAACCCTGTAAGAGAACAAGTACAAAAGAAACCTGGATTCAGTGCTTCCTTCCCTTAGAGCAAGGGACCACTGCTTCCCTAGTGGGACACCAGCAAAGGTCAGTAAGCTGCAAACCAATTCCAGACCAGAACAGCAGAAATACTCCTTATTTTCTGCTAAATGCATCACTGAAACCAACAGGCTGATGGAGATTTCCATGCAGGGGAATGCCTTCGCTAATTAGGGCCTTTTCCTGCTTTATTCTGAGGTTTGGCACCTTAGGTGTTGGTGCATCTCTCACCCTGGGCCTCCATGGGCAGGGTGGGCACGGTGACCCCAGTGTCCCATCCAGGACCCGGCATTAATGTCATTTACAAAAGCCTCTCATCTCCCTTCTCAATGCTTGCGCATCCCCAAGTTCTGCCTCATGGGAGCTGAGCCGATTCCCAAATCCCACTCATGAGCATGTCCCGCTTCTCCCCAGCCTCTGGGCATGATGAGGGTGACATCAGTGACCATGGCAGGCCCCAGGTTCCCTGCTGTGCTGCTGTTACCCCTGTCCTCCTCCTTTCTCAGCACTACCTGCCCTCAAGCTGCTCCTCCTTCACCCACCGGGAGGGAACTAGTTCTGCTGCGGGGCGAAGGCTCTTCCTTCCCAGCTGCCAGCCGGGGTTTTACTATGGGAATGCGTTTATTTATTGGGGCTGGCTTTATTTTTATGGAAACAGTGCTCTGGGTGGGAGCTGTTCCCGATGAGTCAGCAGGACTGCTGTGCCACGCCGGGCACTGTGGGGGGACCGGGCTGGCCGCCAGGGCCACCAGAGCCCCGGGGACCCGGCTTCACTCCTAAAGAAGTGCTGGGTTTCTTTATCCTGCCCTTGCAGAAAACTTCTTCCTTGGAAAACGTGGCACAACAAGAACCAGGAAGAGCTGTGCTTTCAGCTGCAGTGGGGGCAAGTTTTCAAACTACACTGTGTGATCATGAGAAACAAGATTTAAGATTGCAGATTTTAGCATCCTTTAAGAGAAACACCTTGCTGTGTGTACCTGTGAAGCCTCTGATGTGAGGTATCACTGCAGAGAACTGACACCTCAGTTGGTGTTTTTCTTCTCTATTTATTTATGAGCCTCATCTGTGTCACCTGTATGCCCCAAAGACCTCGCTGCGGGCAGGGCCCCGCTGTGCTGGGTCCATGAGCTCTGAGTGCTTAAATCTAGCTGAGGCCAAATCAGAGGTGGGTGCTGCAAACACCACTTCTTTTTGAAGGGCTGGGGTGGGTAGCAGAGCACCCAACATTCCCAGGTAGCTCCAGGGATGCTTGCCAGGGTCCTGAGGTGCCCGTTTCAGTGCTAGCCATGCACCCCTGCAGCTAGCCACGGGCCAGCACTGAGTGACCTGCTCCATCTGCACCACCCTGCTGCTGCTCCCGAGGAGGCTGCTGTTGGGAAGACAGGCTGGCTTCACCGGGGCTCTGGTCCTGGCTTATTTCAGCATTTCCCACCTATGGAGTGCATGGGTTGGCAATCTCGATGTCCTTCTAATGCAGGATGAGTTCACATGCTGGTGAGTGTCTGCTTGGGTTTGCTGTAATTACAGAGCAAGTCCCTTCACAAATCAACGCCTTTACCGGTTGCCCTTGGAATTAGCTTTGTAGGTGCAAGCCAAGTCACAAATAATGAATGCAGGGAAAAAAATCACTTGAAGAAGGAAATACCATCTGTTGTGACCTCAAAATGAAGTATTATCGGGCAGGTTTGCCTGATTTCTCAAGGAGATACAACCAGGCCAACAGCACTGCCTGTGTTTGACGGCATCTCCTCCTCTCCACGTCTTTCCGGGCCTGGCAACCTTTGAATTCGGGGATTTTCCCAGGCGAGAGGGAAGCAGGGCTGTGTCTTGGTGCCTGGATCCAAGGCCACGACAGGGACCGATGGCGGATGAGGATGCCCGTGGCATTGGGGTTGATGGACAGGCTGAGCCCACTGCTCCACCACCCAGCTCCAGCACATGGTGTTTGCTGCACCCCCTTTGCCCTGGGAACTCTGCCTTTAGGGAAATACTAGCTTTGGGAAACTTGGATTTAGTCATCACGTGTCTATTTGCATTTTATTTTATTCTCTCATTGACCAAGTATGGCTATTTCTTGCC